TGTTGCTGCTTTAAACAGTTCTGGATTAGTGTCAGGAGTGATCATTGATACCTACTGCTGACTCAGAATCTTACTTAGGTGAGACACAAAAGCCTGCGCTGGAAATGAGCTGGTATTTGTGTGCTTTGGCACTGCAGTGCTAAGTGGCAAGTTGGATTTCCTAGCTAAGTTGAACTTACAAGCCTGGTCTGAGACGAAGGTACAGATGGCCTTCAGCTCCAGTTGAGCGGTAAGTGTTGGGTCTACCAGTTTTCTGCATCTCTGGCTTACATTTCTGGCCTGTTGTGAGCTGGAAGAACATCTGAAAGGGTGCTAACCCATTTTACTGTGTGATTCTTAGTTGGCAGAGTGCTTTTTGATGCATTAGTAATCCAAGTGGACCTAGTTGCATCATCAGTGAACCAAATATGTCACCCTCTGTGGATCAAAATCAGAGACAACTCTTGGCATCAACAAACCTGTATTAACCCGTCTGTAACAGATACTGGGGCAGAGTATGTCTTTTGTAGCTATTACCTCAGCATGGCTGGAAGAACTGGGTGTGCATCAGTTTCAGAGTTTGTGTTCTTAGTCATCAGTCCAGCGTTAGGCCCTGTCCCCTGGTTTAATACAGGGGCTAGCTGCAAGTGTCCACATCTGGGCCGGATTTTTCACTCTTCGGGCACAGTCCTTACAAGTGAGTGGTTTTGCTTTGTTTGAAACTTGAATCCCAGCAACCTGGTGTTACTGGAAGGCCAGAACATTTACTTTGTTCCCAGTAAAGTTTAGCTGAACTACAGAGACCTGAAGTCCAAGCAGAGGACCACAGCTGAGTCCTCCTGACTGCACAGACTTCTGCTGATCAGCAAAGATATGTTAAATGATCAAATAAGTGTCCTTATCTCACTACAGTTTGCTAGTGCAATATGAACCCTACAACCTCCATAAAGAAGTATTTCTGTGGGGTTTTTGTATGGACTGTGTTTGTGAGGGACCAGTATACGGACTTTCACATTTTTATTTCGAACATCCCACAGACTATTTCAAGTTTTTCTTTGCAGGGCATTGAGGTGTGGGAGCAGATGTATTTCCGTATGGCCAAGGTCTCTTTTGGTTCTCTCTGGGATCCTTCCTGCACTCTTCCTGTGGCCCTTAATACTTGTGGAATTTGGTATTTAGCTGTAATTGCTGGGAAGAAGTTTGTAAAGAGGGAATGGAGTGTATACTCTGAGCACCCTTTTGAAGATAAAATCTGTAACTATCGGTGATCGTAGAACGTTGTGCAGCCCCTTTCTGTTCTCAGCTTTTGTATGCTGAACTTGTGCAGTGCCTACAGGATTAGAGTGGGGAAAAATGCCCTATGTGTTGTGGTGTGCTTGAAGAGCACAGCAAAGCAAATGGAGGTCTGTGACCTACAGATGAGTATCCTAGTGGAAAAATACTTAAAAAGAGCAATTCTCCTAGTGTTTTGTGAAAGATTGTGACACCAAATTAGTGATCATGGAGTGCCTGCAGAAGTAGCTGCAGAAGTAGCAATCTAGATTGCTCAGTAGGGTGAGTAAAAGTGTGGCTGCCAAATCCCCTGAATCCTGAGCAGAAATGGGTCAGTGGAGGTGGTACAAAGGAGAAGTGATAATATTCCCCACTCAGTTTCATCTTGGATTGCATGTTAATTGCAGCTTTAAATGTGTAGTACTGATAAGCAGAGGAGGTGCTGTAAAGCCCCCCCCAGCTCATACCTAAGCCTATAAGCAAAAGTGTGCTTTAGGCCTGTGAGTGTGTGCTCAGAGTCCTTAGCAGCCAGGTTTCTCCTCTGAGGTTGCCCACCAAGGGCAGGTTCTGTCCTGGCTGTGAATGTGTTATTAGCCTGTCAAATGCCTCACTCTGAGCATGTCTGGGAATTCAGTGTCACCAGCCAGATGAGGCTGGAATGTGTTAGTGTCCCACAGGTCGGAGGAAGAAGACTCTCCTGTCAGATCGGTTGGGCATCCCTCTGAAGGAGCATCCACAGAGGTTGTGTCAGTGAATTACAGCAGTACCTAGCAGAAATTGAGTCCATACTGACTGTACACTCAGCTGCCTGCATGCTGACGTGAGATTCAATTCATGAGGTTTTGTAGGCGTCCTGTTGTTCTTTGCTTCACTGTGCTGGCATTGAGAAGCACTGTTGTCCTATTGTGATGCTACAGTGTAATTATCTGTAGAACTCAGCATAATGGGCTTAATTGTCTTTGTTAGTCATGTTAGGAGGGTTTTTTTGGTAATACAGACCTGTATTATTACAGACAAGTTTTTAATCTGCAAGTCATTGTAATAATGGAATTTACTTTTGGATGAGACTTAAAGGCCGCAAGTGTTCATTAACTCAAAGCTCACATCCTATATTGCTGTTTTTAATCTAGTCTTACTCCAGTGTAAAACTGGTCAGAGCATTTCCTGAGCAAGTCTTATGTTCCTAGCACTTTTATGGATTTTTGGGAACGTTTTCAATGCAGTTTGTAATCAGGCATGCAGCTCTGACTCATGGGGCTAGGGTACTGGTATGTGGGACGCTAGAATCAAAAGCATGTGTGTTCCCAGTTTAACAGATGTTGGAGAGAATGGTTCTCTTGCTGTGTGTTTTAAATCAGCTATTAACCGTCCTGTTAACACTGAGCCTGTCAACAGTGTGTATTCAACTACATAAATCAGAATTAATTTGATGTGAATTAAATAAATTCCTGTGTGGACATTTACTTGGAATGAAACTACTCTTAATCTGAAGCAGTATTAAAAGTAAATTAATCTATGCCAAATTAAATCTGGGAAGAAAGGGTTTAATGAAGTTTAACTAATGTACTAAAAGCTCACCTTTCCGTATGATTGAGTGTTCCTGAAAGTCTGTGTGTGCCCAAGCTTATACCATCCTGTTATTATTAACGAACCAAGAGATGAATGTTTTCTGGCTCTCTATACTCTCCCATACTCTCACAAGGTGCATACTGCATGCACCCAATTCACAACAGTAGTGGAGGCCAGGTGGTTGCAAGACCTGAGCTCAACAGCAATTTACCATTTACTTTATCCAAATATGAATGACTGCAGGGTGATTCTTAGTCATTTACCTTCAAGGAAATGGTTGTTTCTCTGTTGCCTGTTCAGTGCAAAGCATTTTATCCTACAAGTGGTGGTGTTGACTGGACTTCAAAACAAAGGCTTTCCTAGTTTAGCAGTAGGCATTGTAAAAGTATATATGGGAAGAAGCCTTTTTTTTTTTTTTAAAAAGTTGAATTGTACAGTTTAGTCTCATTCAGAGGGGTCTTTTAAAATCAGCTTTCAAAGCCTTTGATTTTACTTTTTTTCCCCTCATTCTGGCCTGTTCTTGCTCTTGGAATTTTGTCCTGTGGGTATTGCATTCTTTTGCCCTGGAGCTCTGAGGTAAGAGACTGTGTGTCTAAATCAGAGCTTACTGAGATCCATGAGACTTGGCTGGAGTGCATGGGGTAAGGAGGCAATGGTGGGGAGTGCAATGAGAGGCTGCAGGGTTACATGGGGACACAGAGTGCAGCCTCTGTCTTTCCCTGTCTTGTCACCTTTTCTGTTCTGAGACAGCTTTTCCCATTTAACTCTCTCTGTTCTGTTTTATTTTATTCCCTAGTTAATGCCCAGCCACAACATCTCTGCTGTGTACTGCCACTGCTGCTGCTCAAAGGGAGCTCCTAGGCTTTGCTGAAGAAAGATGGCTTTCTGGACGCAGTTGGGATTGCTGCTATGGAAAAACTTTACCTACAGAAGAAGACAGACTGTAAGTATTAGCCACAGGGCTCTTTTTTTGAGGTCTAAATTGTAGTCTTTTAGCTTACAGCGTGTTTCCCTGTTTTGCTTGAAAAGTATCTTAAATGTTTTGCCTGTAGTCATCCCTGGCAGGACAATTGGTCTGCCTTTGGAAAGACTCAGTTCAAACGGAAGACAGGTGAGGTTGACAGAAGGCTTGAAGGTGCTCAAGACTTCTGTCCTGAATACCAGCAGGAGAGAGCATTGGAATACTGAAACAGTCATGTCAGACCAGGCAGGGAGGGTGCATGACTGCAGTAGGGAAGATGTAAAATGAGAACCTGTGCCATGACCTACTCCCCTCTGCAGGTGGGGCATGGCCAGATTGCGGGGATGTGTACTTCGTTCTAAAAGCTTTTGAATGCTGCAATCTGCAACAACAGCAACAAAATTCTGCCACTTTCTAATGACAGAGGCAATAGCCAGCATCTTTAGTCTCTGTAAATGAGGAGAGAGCCCCACACCTGTTGTGTAACTTTACAACAGCAGGCATAGCTTAAGTGGCTGACATGAGACATTCTTACGTTGACATGGAGACAAATCCAGGCACCTAGTTTTTTTACCAAGGTATGTTCTGATTAATTTAAGTACTGGCATCACCATCAGTTAGCAGTGTGGGACTCTATCTGTTCAGATAGACAATGTGCAGTAAAGAGTTTCTCCTTGTGGTGGCAAAGGCACAGGAGCATGAATCCAGTATGGTGTTCTTAAAATTCTACTGCCTTTGCATTAATGAGATCTCACAAGGTGCTGTAACTCCTGCAGACAGCTAAAAGCCAGAGAAAACATGCTGTTTCCCCTCTGGGGATTTAGGAGATAACTGTCTTGGACAAGGACATGTCCTGTATAACAGAGCTGTGCAGAAGATCTGTCCTGTTAAATCTGGCCTTGAGGAGATGTGACTAGGGAATTTGGAGGGAACATGAGTTACTGAGGTGGTGAGTGGAAAGTGGTCTCTCTGATAAGCTTTCTGAACCCTGCAAATGTCAGGGTGCTTGCCAGCTGGTTGACGTTGTTTTAGAAACTTGGAGTCACAAGAGAGGGGAGGCTGTCATATTTACTGTTGAGGATAGAGACAGTCTTAGAAGTCTTTGCTCAGGTGTCTGAGGCTTGTTTTCATTAAGACTTGTCCAGTGAATTCAGAGTTGAAATGAATCTGTTCTTAAATAAGACCAGACAAAGGGGGCTTATGGCACCTTTTGACTTATTTTGTATACCTCTGTGGTTACAAAGCTGCCACCGATAGCAGGAATTCCTGTGATTTACGTATTTTTGTCCATATTCCAGCAGCCTTGATCTCCCAGGACAGGACTGCTCAGCTGAGAGGCTATGGTCTGCAGCAGCTACAAGAAGTGAGGCTGTCTGCTCTGTATGTACATAGGCCAGCATCCTAACCTTGCAAACAGCCCTACAATTTAGAAGAATGTTGCAACGGAGCTGAGGAAGATAGTGTCAAAACTGGCTACAGCTCCTAAAAAGCTTGTCTCAGCTATTGCCTGTATAACATGGGCTCTTTGAGCTGAAAACAGTCTCTTTTTCCCTTGCCATTAGAGATCTTACTTGTGACCTCTCCCAAACTGCCTTTAGCAATGAGGGGAACTCTAGGACGTTGATGAATTCTCTGGAGCAAAACTTAGAGGAGATTGCAGAGCAGTTGAGTTTTACACTGAGTATGATGGCTTTTTTTTTATTAGGATCTACTGAAAATACTGCATCAGGTTTGAAAGTTACTTGAAAAGGCCTAAATGTAGCATGCATGTCGTGTCGAGGTAGTTGTAGGCTAGCTTACTAGGCAGCAGAGGTTCACTGGGATCCTTTGGTGATGCCACAGAGATTCAGTAGACTGAGTGTGTGTCAGTGAAAAAGACTTTCCTGCTGCTTGTTTTGTCATGTTCTTAGCTCTTCTCAGCTGTTTTCTTGGTATCTTCTGGCAGCTTTTGTGTCCGTTTCCCATCAAGTAGCCCAAAGGGCATGTAGCTGCTCATAGTCTCTGTTCCACACTGATATTATTAGTCAATTCACAATGAAGGCCTGAGACATCTCTTGTTTTTGTGAGGTTCCTACATATGTGAAGTCTTTCTTATTAATGGTTCCTATTTAAGCTTTACCCAAAGACAGCAGGAGGGGAAGGCCACTTAACAGAAAATGGCAGAAAAATAGCAAAACATCTCTTCTCACTGTGCTGTTATCATGGCTGCACAGTCATTCATGTATTTGCTTTACTATTAGGAGACCACTGTCCTTGAGCTGGATGTGCTGGTGAGGGCTCTCTCTCATTTGTACTTTACTGAAGATGTAGCCCAGAAATAGCTTGATCCTTACCCTTCTTGCCACAAGAAGTGTGGACTAGCCTTTGCCTCCCACCAAAGCCTCTCCTTGGCTGATGGGCTGTGTTGCGAAAGCTAGGTTCAAAGCTCAGCCTGACGTGTGCAATTCAAGCGTTACTTTGTACTGGATAACTTCCAACAGCACCAGAGTGGAGGGAACGAGTTTATAGCAGGAGAGGAGGAAAGAGAAATCATGTTCAGGGGTCACTGTAGAAAAACATTTCTTTCTTTCTGCTGTCTTGCAAGTGAAGAGATGCCTCGAACTCTAGTGGAGAGACTGATAGGGTGCTAGTAGCTCCCTGCATTGAAACTGGACCAGAAAGGTGGGGAGAGCAGCTCCCAGTGAGATGGGGTGATAGTTTGGTTAGTTCTTGCTCAACAGATTTCCTGTTGACACAGTGTGCATCTCAATATTTATTGGTATCCTGCATCATCAGCTAACTGGTATAAATTTGGCATGCCTCAGTAACATTAGGAGCAGTTTTTTCTTGGTTAAGTGCTGCCTCTGAATTCACCTGCTGTGTGCAAATGAGGATGTTCCTCCTTCAGATGTAGCAGGAGTGACAGAGTGGATTGACATTTAAAGATTTAACTTCACTATTTACTAGGCTGGTATAATAATTGCAGCACAAAAGTGGGTTAGGAGACTGGTTTTTGTTTTGTTTTTCTCAGTACCTACTTGGTATGAACCTCACTGAGATATATCCTTCTTAGTACTTCTGTGTCTTCCTTTGCAAAGGCCGCAGTCGATAAAAAGCACTGTTGCAGAAAGGTGAGGAGGCAGTAGGGGAAGAAATCTACTGACTTTTGGGAACAAAAGGAGAATTCAGTTTTTGTTGAACAGCACAAGAGGCTGGCCAGGGGAGTCCAAACTTTATTGAAGTGCTGCTGGTGCTGCTGCTTGACTCCATGCAAGTCTGGTGCAGCAATTGCCAGCTGTCTCTCACTAAGTAGCATTTCAGTGGCTGCCATGATGCCACAGTCTTCAGCCGCAAAGGTGCAGCTCAGTCAGTCCAAGCTGAATCCTTCCTTTCTCCATCCTCCATGAGCCTGTCAATCCGTTGTGTGTGCAGAGGCATACGGTGCTGTGCATGCAACCCACATGTGGCTACCTTTTGTGGTTGTGTAATTAATCATAATCTGGCATGCAAAAGGAGAGCCATTTGTGCTGGTGACCAAGATCCTCCTTTAACAACAGGTCCATTTAGGTACTACTGTCCAGCATGGTGCAGCTGGTGCTGATACTTCTCTGAGCAAGCTAGGGCTTGATCTTGAGGGCAGCATTTTCTTACTGGTTTTATAGCAGTCACAGGGCTGCAAGAGGCTATCTGGCCACCTTGGTCATCCGAAGAAGCTTCCACAAGCCCAGGTGACACTGTTCTTCCTCAAAGAATGTAGTGGCAGTCCCTCTGTGTGTGTGCTTTGTGATGGCAGCCAGGGTGGCAGAGGGTCGTGATCTGTGCCAGAGCACAGCCATTGATGCTGCTGGAGGGAGTGGCTTGTCCAGATTTCACAGCCACCTTCCTGTCAAGAGAAGTCCTGCTATGCCATCCTGACAGCACCTGTGAAGGGGTTCTGAAAAGGGAAGGAGTAGACAAGGTGTCAGTATCCTAACTGTGAGCATCTCTCACCGGTCAGAGCCAGCCAGACTGTCATCATTAATGGCTCTGTGTGCTGCAACTACCCTGTTTGTTGTTAAAACAGAGACCAAAGATACTGAGACATCTTCCTAACATCTTCATTAGCATTGTCTCAGTGGAGTTTCTTCTCCAGTAGTCATACAATATGTGCGTGAAAATAATGTATAGGAAACGATATCCCAAACTCATCTGACAGAGCCTGGCGCTGTTACCAGGAATGCTTGCAAGGCTGATGCTCAATTTTTATGCCTTTTGGGTGGAGTTGCCATCTGATTGGACATCAGCCCTTAAATGTACCTGTGAAGAGTCATCCTAGATGTTTTCCTCTGCTGGATCAAGTGGCATTTGTTTTAATGCACTATTTATTTTGAGGTATGGGAGTCACCTAGAAGTCTCACCTCGAAGTCTGCGTGGAGTTCCTTGTACTTTTTGTCAAGAGCCTAATTTTAGCTGTTAATAGTGTAACATGGGAAAACACATTTGTGTGTAGAGATTCTCTCTCCCACTAGGTTGCAGATCTTATCCTATTTGGCTTGTAATAAAAGCTACATAGACATATTACTAAAAAAGACTTCTTTTGGGAAAGAAGGACAAAAGATTTCTGTTTACTTGACAAAGAGTTTTGGTTTTTCTGTGTCTCGTATCCTACCTAAAATGCATGTTTAGACAACCTTTCTGGAGTGGGAAAGGAGAGGTGTGGTTGGTGAAGCTCAAGGTTGAGAAACCTTAGCTTGAGTCTTGGAAGATCTAGGCTGAAGTGTTGCTTTGTGCACAAGAAAAAAAAAAGTTTTCTGTGCTTCAATTCCTGGTAAAAAAAATACTTTGCATTTAACAAGTCTTTCATATATTCTTTTCTAGTCCCTCTAAATAACTGAGTTCTTTGTATCTTTGCCTTACACTCACTGCCTGTTTATAGGCACCCTGGGCTAGTGGGTGCTTGCCTTTTTGGGAGCAGAAGTACAAAAGAACGAAATAAAAAGTAGATATGAGCTTAGTCTTAGTAGCTCTCCTCTCCTGTTACTAATATACTTCTGCAGCACTGGAACTGAAAGATTTGGCATAGCAATACACCAGCACAATTTTCATGTCTGATGTGTTAGGGGAGAAGCTCAATGGTTTGCTGTGAGAATCTGATGAAAGTACTTCGCACTTCCCACTACCTCTAAAATACGAAGCCAAAAATTCAGCTCATTGCTAGGAAGGTTCCTTGGGAGGTTTCTTTCAAGGGACAAAAAGAATTAGAAAGAGAAGCCCAAAGTAGCCCTTAAACACATCCAGTTTAGTCCCATAACTGGCACATATCAATGAGGAAAGCCTGTAATTCTTTGCAGATTATCCTCTGAAGCTGCAGAAACAAACTTTTTGGTCCTAGAATGCATAGTCAAACAAAGTGAGGCAGTGCTTGCAAAAGTAGTTTGTCCTGGAACCTCTGTTCTGTCCTGTACTTTGAATATGATGTTTTAATACTCTATTGTTTCCAGTTCCAGCTGCTGATCGAAGTTGCCTGGCCTCTGTTTATCTTCTTCATCCTGATCTCTGTAAGACTTTCATATCCGCCCTATGAGCAACATGAATGTAAGTACCAAACACAGCAGCTGCACCCAGAATGCTTGTTTTTTTCATGGTTAGCAGGTAGTAGTTCAGCTGGCAAGATGCAAAGAGCAGGGACAGTTTTTTGTGTACCTCAGTCAGAAATCTTCAGGGAATTTTTAGTGGCTCCTTTCCTTCCACCTTGGGGACTGCAGTATCTGACAGGTCAGTGTTCTGACATGTCAGTGTTGCTCTGTGACTGCACATTTTTACTGTTTTTCTTGCTGTTTCTCTTTATTTTTAAAATTTTTTTTTGCTTGTGTGGGGTGTTTTTTGTTTGTTTTGATTTTGCTGTTTAATTTCTAATGTATTAGCTGAGAATTTCTGCACAACTGTGACAAGTCTGAAAAACCCACTGTCAAGGGTTAGGGCGGGGCCAGCCACTAGAGGAATGACAGATGCTCTCTATTAACCCCTCTCACTCCCGAAAGGAACAGAGAGGGAACGAGAGAGATTTATGGATTAGTAAAAAAACAGTTAAAACAGCTTTAATGAAACACTAATAATACTCATAAGAAAATAATGCAAATAATGTATACAAAACCAATACTGAAACTCCCTTGATGAGTTGCCATTGATGCTGCAAAGCAGGCAGGCACTAGGGAAGTCTAGTTTGGGATTGAATATGATGTATATGGAATGGAATACTTTGGTCTGTTTTGGTTCATGTGTATTTTCAGCTCCTCCCTGCAGGTGCAATCTTCTAGCTTATTTATGGGCCACTAACGTGGGGCACAAGATTTAGCAGTTACCTTGGTCTCTATAGGAGCAAGTGTAAGGAATAGTCTTTCTGCATACCAATCCTTGGTAGCAGCTGTGAACACGAAGTGCTATAACTACTAAAAGCAAACACTGTCTTCAGGAATGTGCTGTTAATTTAAGAAAGTGCTCTTGAAAGAGAATTAGCTGAAAACTAAAAACACCGAACAGAGAATTGGTTCTGTCTGAGCTCAAAGACAGAACTCAAGTCTTATTTCTTGTTAATCTGCATGTGACTTAGCACAAAGAAAAGGAGTGTTCAGATCTGTAAGAAGGCAATCTCAATTTCAGTTAGTAAAGTGGGTTGATGTACCACTATAAAGAGCACAAGAGCAATTCCATACCTTCTAACCATTAGATTGTCAGCTCTGTATTCAGTAGATGCAGCAATCATATATTTGTGGGGAAAAAGTATTGTGTTTTTCTCTTTACATACTGAATGGGTACATTTCTGTTTTTCTTTCAAAGCAAGCTTATTCTTGCTCTGCGAATGACAATCTTTAGGCCTCTGTTCTGGTTGCCATTTGATTTAGGAAGCATGACTTGTTTATTAGCAACATGCTTTGTCTCACTGCGGTTGGTGACAGGCTTGTACCGCTGACTGTGGAAGAGCTCTTTGTTTGTCTTTCCTTTGCCTGATTACTTCAAGGTAAGGTCTAAGGGTCAGCACAACGTGATTTTGGAGGGTATTGTGAAGTGTTTCATTCCCAAAGGGAGTGAAGAACTAGAGCACTTACCCTGTGATTTGTTGCACTGGCTGGGGCATTTTATGCTCCTTGCTGGGCTTTCAAGCTTGCATGGTTCCTTTCAAAGTTGGACTGTTAATATTTGCAGTTGCTTATTACACTTTGGATACTGCTGGTTCCGTGTGCGGCCTAACTCGCTTTCTGCGGTGCTTTGCAGGGTAATTGAATTTTCCCTAAATTAGATCTCATACTTTGCACAACATTTAATTGTCTCTTTCTGAGTGGATGTTACGGTGGCATTAGGGGAGATACCTGTAATATGGGTGTAAAACTCAAGAGAAGCAATAAGCAGTCTGCTCAGCTGGTGTAAGTAACTTGCAGCCTCAGTGGTAATTAGACTCAGCTGTGGCAGTGCTGTACATGAACTCAAACCTAGCAAGAGCTGCCATTTTGTGGAGCTGTTTAGATTGGGCTTATTAGACATTAGCGTACTTTTAAACCCTTTGCTTTGGCACCCTGATGTCACAAGCAGAGTTTTGAGTCTTCCACCTGCAGCCCTTTTTCCTTCCTGTTTATGTTGACCGATACTATCTTATCTGTCTTCTCCCCATGTTGTCATTGGGAATTGTAGAATGTAGGGCATTTGTTAACTTTTTATGGTCAACTCCTCTCAATTTTTTCAAAAGCTGCTGAGAATAGGTAACTAAATTATTTCATTTAAGTCTGGGCTGGTTTCACTGAACGCTCACTATTGCTGACAGATACGAATGTGTTGTATAGTGGAACTTCTTTTGCTGAACTGTGAGCAGAGACAGAAGGAAAGAAGCCTTGAGTTCAAAGTGAACTCTGTGGCAATCATGTGGATGCCTGAAGGGAAACAGGATCGTTATCTGTAGTGGCAGTGCTGTATGCTGTTAGGAAATCACTTGCAGGTAATGTCTGATGATAGCAGTAACGCAGCTGCATGCAGGTGCTTTGTAGCCTCTAGATAGCTTCAGTATTTTAATGGCATAGGGTTTTTTTTCAACAAGCAGATAAGAATTTCAGTTCTCTTTTCCTGTTTGAGGAGAAGAACCAATGACTGGTCTGTTTCTGTGGTCAGACTTCCTAGTCAGGATTTTTTTTATTTCTAGGAGCTTAGCCAAGTGAGGAACTTTCTGTGAAAACATGGGGGAAAATTTTGCTAGCTCTTAAGTGGTAGTTACATGACTTTCACCAGACAAGCCAGAGAAGACATCTTAGATTGCTGCTGAGCAAGATGGCTGACTTTGTCTTGTAGAGCTTGACTTTTCTGTTCCTGTAACCCTTTAAGATACTCAAAATGCATTTCATTTGGGGGAAAAAAAGTCTGACAAAGCTACTTAAATCTCCACTGAAAAGCTAGATGTTTGCAGCAAAGTCATCGAAAACAGTGTGCTGTTCTCTGTGTAAATCATCTGACTTAAGACTGGCAGATTCCTGCTTTATTCTTCAAGAAACCACTGTTACATGCATCACTCTCTACAAAAAAAAACTTACTATGAATGCTTGTACACCTTTCATCTGTTCATATTGCTTTTAATAGCTTCTTTGAATTCTTAACTGTGTAAAGTAAAAGGTATGGAGAAGAGAGAATGTGGTTCTCTGTGAAATTTTACAAGGACTCTGAAAGTCTTAGTGGTTTTATTTTCTCCCACCCTAAGCCCCTCAGCCAAGAAGAACAAAAAAGCAAAATGGAGCAAAAGTCAGATCTCAGGTAAATAGCTTTTCTATTTTAAGCAGAACTGAGAACAAGCAGTCCCCTGAGTACTGGAAACAATGAACTTTTGGTTCCATTACCTTTCTTCTGGACAGAGTCTGTGGCTTTCTTCAGGGAGGGCTGATAAGCTCCCTGTTATCCTTCAGCCACCTACATAAACCAGCCTTACTGTAACTCATCAGCTTTGTCCTTTGTTCCCACTGAGACTTTGGTACTGTGGCTTTTTTGTGGCTGTGGAGGCAGGGAGCCAGCCCCACTCCATGTGATTGCAGTCATGATAGGAGGACGAGGTGGACACGAGGAGAATATGCCTACTGTGTGCTCAGAGCCTTGAGCTCCTCCTTTGAGTACCTGTTAGAGATACTGAGGAAGGGACATAACCTTCCTTTGTGCTCCCCTCTCTCATGTAGGGGTGAGGCAGTGAGTTTGTTTGCAGAAAGCAGCCTGATGACTTGACTAAGGTACAGGATGATACATGGGAAGCCTTCCTTCCTCTCTTGTTGGAGGGTGAAGGATTCATGAGTTGCCTCAGTGGCATGCTGCTGGAGATCTGCCACTGCTTTAACTCTTGACCAGCATGTACAATGCAAACAGGATGTAAGCTCTGGGCTATGACTTAAGTAGGTCTTTAGTAGTAAGAGTTAGACTTTAGCAAAGAAGGTTTGAAATATGGCAGGCAGGTGCCTAAATGTTTTTTGAACCCTCAAGTTTTAAGCCTGTCTGGAAACCACGCCAGTACAGGAGAGCAATGACCTACTCACTTCAGGGAAACCAGCACAAGCATCGACTCCACAAGGGAGTTCCTTTGATGTTTACAATGTACACCCTTCGTTTGGTGTTTATATGTATGTAATCAAGGTGAGTGAATTTTGAAAACCAGAAGGACTGAATAGAGGTATTCTGGGTCTTCATAATCCAGACCCTGACTGGCGCTGTTGATCTGGCCTCTAGCCAAATTCTTATGTTAGTTAAGCATTCAAATCCAGGGAAGCATGGCTGGCTAGAAGCATGTGTGTGCATGTGCTCACCACTGACAAGCTTTGGAGTTGCCTGCTGTTGGTCATTACTCAGCAAGAAATGCTATATTCCTGTTAACAGGGCCAAAAGCAGTGCTGCAAAGATGAGAGTAGCAAAGAGCTTCTCCAGGCTTAATGAGGTGTAGTTTTTTGCTGAAGGAGGCTAGAGCTGTGTGTGGAACTTAATAAGAAACTTTGAGCTCATGTTGTTGGCTGTTCTGCTCTCTTGGAAGCAATCTGGGGCAGTGACCAGCGCAGGGTTAGCATTGCCCTCCCAGTGCAATGCTGTGTAGTAGTGGCTTGTATCTGTGTTTCCGTCTCCTGACTCATGTGTTTCTGTTCAAGGTCACTTCCCAAACAAAGCTATGCCTTCAGCGGGAACCTTGCCATGGATACAGGGGATCATCTGCAATGCCAACAACCCTTGCTTTCGCTATCCAACTCCTGGAGAATCCCCCGGTATAGTTGGAAACTTCAATGCCTCCATGTGAGTCTGCCTGTTTTTTCCTAATCTCTGTTCTTGGGGGAAAATGTGGAAAAGCGTATTTTGAAGTTGCCAGCTAGCTGTGTAACTGTATACTATCGAAGTTTTTCTGCTGCTTCTGAAGTACCAAGCTCATCAGCTACCAAGTTTAGAGAAGCTAGCAGAGAGCTGGTGGGTGTGCAGTAATATCTCCAAGTCCAAGCAGTTGAAGCTCTTGTTGAATGAAAAGATGGGCCTGGGTGAGGAATGAGTCCATTCTCGTATCAGTTGCATAGAATTGGCCTGTAAAAGGGCAAGGCATAAGCTCTTTTTTTCAGAGACCCACCTTCCCTGGTTAATGAACCTTATGGACAGTGTAGAGCAAGAGACAGTTGAAGAGTAGATCTAGGGGATACTCCGTGACACTTGTCATCTGTTACCAGCTTACGTGTTGCAGGAAACTCAATTTATGGCCAGCTTCCTGAGACTCTGCCGTGATTCCCATGTTCATGCTGTCAGGCCAGTTAGGCTTGATGAGGAGTAAAATAAATCTGCGACCTGGAGAAGCATTTGAAAGGAGCAAGGGCATACTTAAATTATTGTGCTTCTAAGAGGAAGCAGCTTACAGGCAGCAAGAGGCATCTCCATCCCAGTCTTAAATAAATGCTTTCAAATGAATGAAAATTCCAAATGTAACTTTGTTTTGACCTTTCATTAAGAGCTATCTGTTACTGTTAGGCTCCTTGAATTGTCCCAGGGTGGTCACCTGAGAAAGGGCTTATTATCCTGGAGAGGACAGTGGCATGTCTGAAAGGGACTGAAGTTTGGAATTGGTAGATAAAAGTGAATCTGTGGTTGCTGGCTCACAGGGCTGATGACTGCTGGTTGTTTTTGTGTTTACATGTCACCAGTGTTTCCCGCCTGTTCTCGGATGCCAAGAGGTTGCTCTTGTACAGCCAACAGGACACGAGCATAAAGGATGTCCAGAAGGTCCTGGGAAAACTGCGCAAATTGGGAAACTCCGCTGTCTCAGGTAACTGCATGCTAGAAAAAGCCACCTCTACCTGGCATTTCTGGTCTAGTTAATTCTGCGTGTCTGTCAATTTCTGAAATGTACTGTAGTGGGAATATGGATGGTTATAATTTACAGCTCATCTTAACTTTTCCAATCCTGCAGAAATACCTTAACTCTCCTGTGTCAGAGCTTTGTGTGCTCTTTAGCTTCTTTGGTGGAAGAGAAAAGGGATGGTCTGTAATGGCAAGAATAGCAGCTGTTTTGGATGTGAAATTACAATTCTCAGCCCACTGAAGTCAGTTAAAATGCTGACTTTCTCAAAGGAGTTAAAGTAATGCACCTTTCTGGAAAACACTGGTTAATTTGCTCTTTTTCAGTGAAGCAGTGAATTCAGGACAGCTGCAATTCAGTGCTCTGCCCTCTGAGCTCCAAAGGATGGTGAACTGGAAGAAAGCAGATGAGGAAAAGCTGATGTTGCCCTCCAGTTTACAAACTTAAAGCTGATAATTACCTGACAATGAACTCTCCATTTCCCTTCTTGTTTGGTGGGGTTTTGTTTTGTTTGTTACTGTGTGATGTAAGATACTTCATTCTCTGATATTATCTGGCAGGATTTTGAATGGCAGGGTTCAAAAGAAAATCTTGGGTGTTCGCACAGCCCCACTTGCCATGAAAGAGAGAATCCTTCCATTTTTATCCTGAGTGAGGTCTGGTGTGCCTTTCTGTCCCGTACAGATGAATGCCTAGTGTGAGACCACATGGGAAGCTTAGAGCAGAGCTGGTACTTAAAACAGCTCTGCCTGGTCTTGGTAAATGTGGCAATTCTCCAGTTATTGCCAGGTCTGTCTGGCATGGGAGCTTGTTAAAGCTTTTTTGGGTACTCTTCTCTGAAACACTGTCTTGGCTATTTTGTTGGTACTGCATGTCTCTGTTGGAAGTAGTGGTTTATGAAGAAATAGAGCAGGGAACACAGCCATCGAGTGTCTTCACCTACAGCCCCTACCACATGGAGCTCTGTGAACACAGGTGGTATTTGTGTTATGTAAAAGTTATCCCTGGTCTTAGAGTTGTCGTTCTTCCTAGCTGTCTTTGAGTGTCACTCAGGCAGGCTCCAGAGAGAACAGTATCTGACCTGCTGTGATGTGAATATAGTGTCTGTGTCCTGAGCATGTTTTTAAAGCAGAGATGTGTTTTTACATCCTTTCGGGAGTTGCTCAGTACATTACAGATCACTTTGAAATCGCATGTATTGTTAGTGGCAGGTTGGCAGATGTGTGCTGATTGTATGTGCAGACAAGAACTGTGCAAGTTCTTGGATATGTAACTCTCCTCTCTTACCTTCAGGGCTGTGCCTAATCCTGATATGAACAGATCTAAAGGTGCTACTGTGGTTTACTTACTCTTGGAGAATTATTTGATGCTTTTACTTAGGTATAAGGGGACACTCTTCCTTTCTGGGCCCAATAGCTATACTGCAAGGCTCCACTTTTCTTACCCTGAGGACTGGAAAATGGCATTTTCATGCTTTTAGGTAAATCTGCAGTGTTTTTAAGGGTGAGAGGATAGAGAGCGAACACTTTGTGTGAAGATAGACACCTAAGGAACAGAGCAAAAATGACATAAGATGGTTTGGCTTGGTGGTCTTGTGGGAACAAGGTCTCTCTGTCAGAATGACAGATGTTGTTACTGGATTTTAAACTTCATGCCTGCGGTAGTATCGGGAAGTTAACTCTTTCAGAGTGCGTACTGGTATATTGTATTGAAATATGAGGTGAACATCAGACATGGACATTTATGAGAAAACAATAAAATCCACAAGCTGAAGCTCTCATTGCTGGAAAAGTTTGAGGGGGAGGAGTGATTCCAAGAAGTATTTCGCATACGGAGTATTGTACAAGTAGAAACTCAGAAGGCTCTTTTTTCTCTATACTGTAAAGACTAACAGTCTGCAAAAATAAGCCTAAGAACAGTCATCAAAGATCATATTTCTATAACAAATTACTTCAGATGCTTAATAAAAAACTCAAGCCTCTGTGTCATTAAATGACAGACTGCCCATTGTTGGTATGGCTTGCAAGAGACAAAGCCTGTTTGTTCTCATGATATACTCATTTACAAAGCCTCCATCTTGGGGGTCCCTGCTTCCCGCTCCTTGGCTGTCTGATTCATTCTCTGACAGTTTGCATAAAACAGCATCCTGTAATCTTAAAGTACTTGTGTACTTGTGTATTTATGCTTAGCAGTGCTTAGATTCCTGTGCAAGGAAGGGAACTACAGCTTAACCTTTCAGCTGCTGTTGACACTGAGGTGTGAGAAGTGTTTAAATCCTTTCCTCTCTCTGGTGTTTCCTCTAGTGACTGGGAACCTAAGAAGACAGTAGGTACAGATGCCAGATGTAAGCACACCTCCAAACTTCAGAGCCCTGCCTTTAAACATGTATTTCCCCAGTTAGCAGGAGAAGTAATTACCTGATGAGCTAATAAATGAAAACATCTGTAATACCTCCTCTGTTCCAGCTCTGGACCTGGAGCCATGTGGATCGCTGGTGCAGACAGATGCTGCTTTGGATCTCATGTTTCCCTGGTGGGAGGGACTGTATGCTCCCTATGGTGTGATGTGGGCTCTACTGGAGTCTCTGCAGCTCACTCATTCCCTGTCATGTGGATGAGGTGACCCTCCTTCCTCACATGCTTCTCGCTGCTGCCTGATGGCTTTGAAACAGGCTTCAGGAGGTGATCTTCCATTACTAGCATGCAAATTGGAGCTGTGGTACAGATTTTGTTCTAATACTAGTCATGCAGACCATGCATGCCTGTATTTGGCTTCACTTGATTGAATCTATTTTGAGAGCATTTGCTAAAGTGCTTTCACTTGAAGCTTCTTTAAAACAACTCTCTCAGACTAACATTCCAGGTGTGATGTGAGATTAGGCAAGTGCTGAATCCTGGGGAAGGGAGACTTGCTGCTTAAGATGGCAGGGTGCTTACACAGGTCCCTGCCAGTCAGTGTCTTTATTAAAGACAAGGTAGGACGCTAAGGTTTTGGTCAGGCAGTGCTGTGTGCCCATGCCAACAGGCATTGTATCTCAGTCACTTACTGATGAGATGGTAGGTAATCCCTTGTGACAACAGGCTGTTAGTCCAGGAGTTTGAGGTGAGGCTCCTGTTCTCTGCTGCTCTAACCTCTAGAAGAGCTCTCTGGCAGAGGGAGGGGGAAGTGTTGTCAGCAGGGAACAGCCCACCTTTGCTTCATGTAGCACCTTTTCTGGCCAGGATGAAGAACCTCCTGGTGGTATGAGAGGGTTCAGCACAGGCAGCTGTCACGCATACACCCCATACAGGATGCTGCTGTTTGTTCTGTGGCTGCTTCCAGCAAGCCCTGAGCAGTGAAATCTACGTGCAGGCACACACGTGCCTTAACATAATCAATTTTACAGATAGGAGCCAGGTCCCCTCTTCTCGGGACTTTTTACGTCTCTGACGAGCAATGTCACCAAAGTCTTCAACACTCGTGATATGGCAGAGCACAAATCTGAACAGAGAGTCAAAGACCTTGGTGACAGCACTTCCAAGAGCATGACATGGCTGCTGGGATCGCCAGCAGCAGTGGGTTTGGCTCACTGCTTGCAGGCACTGGGTTTGTGACTGGCCTTAATGCTGTTTCAGGAAAGGATAAAGTGTTTGCAAGAAGGAAGCTTTCCTCCTTTCTTTGAAAGGTGGAGGTACAGCTTGTGGTTGGCTCTGAGGCACACTTTATTTCTTCCTTCTCTCTACAGGGCTTCCAAATGCTTTGTTCTGTAGCACCATGGGATAATAAATCAATCAGTAAAATTAAAGCCACCTTTACAGTTGCACATTATAAGCTAGACTAGCTGGTATTTACTTTGTTGCTCTTAGCTTTCAGTGCTCCCAAAGGGCGTGTTTCTTATTTTTCTTGAAACTAGCCCAACTAAACAAAAATGTAGTAGTAGGCAAACAAACATCACATAAGAAATTACATCAGATCTTAGGCTATTATTCCACATGTGCCCTGCCTTTCCCATTTTTTCAGTGAACTAGTATTGCTCATGGTGCAGGAGGAACATCAGCTGGGTGGCATCCTCTGCTGTTTTTGCATCCTGCTGCACAGACATCTAGGTCTTAGAACTGAAGGAGTTTGCAGCCCATCTGAATGTTGCTGTAATGGTGGCAGGACAATTTTTACTGCCTTAAGACAGGTAAATCAGTCTTTCAAAGAATACTGCTTCAAGGATGGGAAGATGCAATGAAGAAATCTTCCAGCTGGTTAGTAGGAAAGATAATAAGGTAGTGTGCACCTGGAGATAGCAAGTAGACTTGTTTAGAAGGTTTTAACGAGCTGTTCGTCCTTGGGGGTGTGTGGAACCAGACCTAAGCGGGGCTTTTCTAGTCAAAACCTTGTTAGGGAGATTAGAGGGTACGGAAACATCAAAAATTGTTAATGAAAGGCTGAGAGCGAGCCAAAATTAAATGTGGCAGTGGAAGATGGCGACTACCACTTCAATTCAGAGTGCTGAAAGCTCAACACCCCCCCACCCTCAAAGAACATGCTCGCTAATTTACATGAGAGGTGAGGCTAACTTTAATATACTGATCCAATGATGACTGTAACTGTTATCACTAACCAGTAATTGTAGAATTAGTGGCAAGTTAGGTGTCTTTATACTAATAAGTTACAAACTAAGTATGTTGCAGTTTTCCGATGCAGTATGCTGGTTTCATCTAGCATCCACACTTGGCCACCTTTGCTAGTAAACCAATGTTGGCTTACTAAACTATCATTTGTCTTAGACGGTTCTTTACTGATAGTTTTTGCTTATAGCGGCATGGCCAGTGCTAATAGTGCTACTTTTATTTAACGTGTAAAGGGTGACTGGAAGTTTGGCCTGAGGAGCAGCCTTAGGAAAGGCTTTCTGGCGATGTGTGTCCTACTCTATGATCATCAGAGTGCTCAGGCAAACAGGATGTTGTCCATTACCTGCTGGATGACATTAAGGTGGC